AAAATTTATTCCCTTTATGTTTCTAATTTAGAGTAGAGCTCTACTGTTACATTAACATGTCTCTAGAGATCAATAACCACATATTAGAGAGACTGAAAAGTAGGAAAACTTAGGGTTAAGTATGGAAGAAAAGCTACTAATTAGGAAACACTACAAGGGGATGTTAAAACATTTCTGAAATCATAAATGATGAAGAAACTAGCCCATAATTCCAACACAACATCTCTGTAAATGTTTCTATTTTAGTGTGATTTACTCACAAAATTAAGAACAAGAAAACTCTAAATACTACATAAAAAACTGTTAGAATTAATAAACAAATTCAATATGGTTGAGGGACACAAAGTCAACATATATAAACCAGTAGAATATATACTATTAGCAAATTATAAAAAAAAAAAAAATCAAGAAGAAGACAGTCCCACTTACAATAGCATCAAAAAGAGTAAAGTACTTAGGAATAAATTTAACTAAAGATGTAAAAAATCCGTACACTGAAAGCTATAAAACACTGAAGAGAAACAGAAGAAAACACAAATAAATGAGAAGATATCCCATGTTCATGGACTGGAATAATTAATATTGTAGACATGGTCATACAACCCAAAGTAATCTTCAGTTTAAATGTAATCCTTATCAGAATTCCAATGACATTTTTCACAGAAACAGAAAAAAAAAAAAATCCTAAAATTCACAAGGAAGCACAAAGACCTTGAATAGCCAAAGCAATTTTAAGAAAGAAAACCAGTCAGAGGCATCACATCCTGGTTTCAAATTATATTACAAAGCTACAGTAATCATAAAAGTATGGAAGTATGGACCCGATATTAAAAGGGGCACACAGACCAGTGGAACAGAAAAGAGAGCCCAGAAATCAACCCACACATACAAGGTCAACTAATCTTCAACAAGGGCCTGAAGCATACATACAATAAGGAAAAGATATTCTCTTCAATAAATGATGTTCGGAAGACTGTATATTCACAAGTAAAAGTACTACTGCCATATACCATACACAAAAATTAACTCACAATGGATTAAATAATTAAACATAAGATCTAAAATGACAAAATTCTTACAAGAAAACATAAGGAAAAATCTCCTCAATGTTGGTCTTGGCAATGATTTTTGGGACATGGAATCAAAAGCAAAAATAAACAAATAGGTATACAACAAACTAAAAAGCTTCTACACAGAAAATAAAAAAATAAATAAAATCAATAGAGAGACAATGTGAAATGCAAGAAACGACAAAATGAAGAAAATATTTGCAAACCATATACATTAGTTCTGTCTTAGTGCCTTCCCTTTCCATGCTTCCAATTACTTATAGTCAACTGTGGCCCAAAAATGTTAAATGAAAAATTCTAGAAATAATTCATAAGTTTTAAATTATGTACCCTTCCAAGTAGCATGATGGAATCTCACCTGTCCCATTCAATTCAGCCTGCAACATGAATCATCCCCTTGTCCAGAGTATTCAGGCTGTAGCCACTCCCCAGCCATTAGTCACTTAGTAACTGTCTTGTTTACTAGAAAGACTGTGGCAGTATCACAGTGCTTTTGTTCAAGTAACCCTTACATTACTTAGTCATGGCCCCAAAGCACAAGAGTAGTGATGCTGGCAATTCGGATTTGCCAGAGAAAGGCAAGGTGTTTCAAGTGAAAAGATGAAAGTTCTTGACTTAATAAAAGAAAAAAAAAAATCATATGCTGAGATTGCTAAGATCTATGGTAAGAACATTCTATCTGTGAAATCATAAGAAGGAAATCATAACAAATTGGTGCCAGGCTGGGTGCAGTTGCTCAGGCCTGTAATCCCAGCACTTTGGGAGGTCAAGGTGGGTGGATCACCTAAGGTCAGGAGTTTCAGACTAGCCTGATCAACATGGAGAAACCCCGTCTCTACTAAAAAATACAAAGATTAGCTGGGTGTGGTGGCGCATGCCTTTAATTCCAGCTACTTGGGAGGCTGAGGCAGAAGAATTAGTTGAATCCAGGAGGCGGAGGTTGCAGTGAGCTGAGATTGGGACATTGCACTCCAGCCTGGGCAACAAGAGCAAAATTTCATCTCAAAAAAAGAAAAAAAAAAAAAAGAAAGAAAAAAGAAATTTGTGCCAATTTTGATGGTGCACCTTAAAGTGCAAAAATTATGGCCACAGTACATGATAAGCACTTAGTTAAGATGGAAAAGGTATTAAATTTGTGGGCGAAAAACATGAATGAAAATGTGGTTTTAAAATTTTAATACATTTTCTTAAGTATATATTTATAAAGGACATAGTACTGTACTACTATACCATTTCTTTTTTTACTTTTTATTTGTTTTTACTTGACACATAATAATTGCACATATTTATGGGACACACAGTGATGTTTTGATACATATAATGTATAGTGATCAGATCAGGGTAATTAGCCTATCCATCATCTCAAACATTTATCATTTCTTTGTGGTGGGAACCTTCAACATCCTTCTTCTAGCTATGTTAAACCATATTATATATTATTGTTAACTACAGTCCTTCTACAGTCATGTACAACACCAGAATTTATTCATTCTACCCAGCTGTAATGTTGCATCCTTTAACAATTCTCTCCTTATCTCTCCCTTCCCACTACTCAATTTGGTTCAATACTATCAGGTTGCAGGCATCCATCAGGGTTTTGGAATGTATCACCTGAGGATAAGCAGGGACTAAGTATCTGATAAAAGGTTACAATCCAAAATAGAAACTTACACAACTCAATAGCAGATAAACCCAAATAATTCAATTAAAAGTGGGCAAAAGATCTGAATACATTTTTTTTCAAAAGAAAACACACAAATGGCCACTGGATACATGAAAAGGTGCTCTTCATAACTAATCATCAAGGAAATGAAAACTAAACTCACAATAAGACATCCATTTACACCTGTTAAAATGGCTATTATCAAAAATAGATGTGTTGGTGAGGATGTGGAGAAAAGGTAACTGTTACTGTACATGATTGGTGGCATAAGCTAGGATACTTTAATTATTTTTTTGTTTTACATTATCTTTGGAGATCATTCTTTCCACATAAAAATAACTCATTTAGTTTTTTTTTTTTCCTACAGAGTAATACAATATTTTATATTGTGTGATGTACTATAATTTACTTACTGATACTCTATTGGAAATTCATTTCTCTGTAATCTTTTGCTATTAAAAATAATACTGCAATGAATAACCCTGTAGTATATTAAATTATTAATGAAAAAAACCCCACATCATGTTTTTCAAAGAACTTCTGCTTTTTCTTAAATAATTTACATGCAAAATGCCTTCCAAGCAGTTTCTGGAAGCTACTCTGCATAATATGAAAAAAAACAGAGACACAGAACT